AATGTATGAATTTAAAGAAAACTTTTTCAAAAGTTATATCAACATTATTTTATTTAATCCACTTTAAACAAAAAAGCTTTGAATTAAAAAAAAAAATTTAAAAAGAAAGGGGCCATTTGGATTAGCTGTTCAAATTTAATAGATGACTAGACCTGACAAACGGGCGGATAGGGTCAGGTTCAGGTTGGGTCAACTTGGGTGACGAGTTATACGAGTTGAGTTAATGAACCAGTTGTGGGTTGGAAAAATCCAACCCTAACCTGACCCTAACGAGTTACGAGTTAATTCACAGGTTGACCTTATTTTTATTTTTTATAATTATTTTTTATTAATTTTATTATATACAAATAAAATTATATATATCTAAATCTAATTAAAATATTATGATTCATTACAACTAAGTACTTTATAGTCTCAACCACAAACAATTAAATTAAGAAAAAAAATCATAAAGTTACAAATAATAATAAGTTGATTAACAATAACAATATTAAACGTAAAATATTTAAATTTCTTGAAAAATAAAATTTTAATTTTATAATCATCTTAAAACGTTATCAAGTAGTTTAAGCTATTTTTTTAATGATGAAATTGTTTTTCCAAGAATATCTTTCACTTAGTTATTATGTTTATGTCATAGCGTCATATCTTTTAATATTTTTAGTTGCATTATCATTTCATTCATGATACTTGAATAATTGTTAATACAAAAAAAAATGATACTTGAATAATTAGATCAAACTTATCATAATTTTTTTGTCTTTCTCTAGAAATTATGAAGTATAAATTAATGGAAGGGTTATTAATAAAAAAATTAATTAAGAATAATTAGTATAATATTTAATAATAATAAATAAATAAAACAAACGAGTCAACCCGTTAAATCACAGGTTGACTCTAACCCAACCCGTGGGTTAATAATACAGGTTATTTACAGGTTGCAAATTATGATATGCAGACCCTAACCCATTTTTACAAATCAAGTTAGGGTCGGGTTGACGAGTCGAATGGATTTTTACCAAGTCTATGGATGACTAATAACTGATAATTTATAGCTAACAACTAATCGCTAATAGCTAATAATTAATAGTTGTTGTTTGATAATTAATGTTTGGCAACAGAAACGGTTAGATGTTACTAGTAGAATGTTAAATTACTATTAAGGATATATTTTATGTTAGTTAAATTTTTTATCCATTGTGGTTTGGAGTTTTTTCTTTTTTAAAAAAAAAATCAAACAACCAAAATTAAAATTACTACATAATTCATGTCAATAAATAATAATAACAGTATCCCTTTCTTTGACACCCTAATTTTCCATTCGTTTCTAATTTCTTTCAGCCTCCTAAACCCCATTTCGCTTCCCCATCTTCCCCATCTTCTCCCATTTTCCAATTAAATAATAATAATACTCATATATTACTTCTATTTTATTCTCCCATTAGATTACTTCTATTCCATTATACATCATGAATTTTTTGATGAGTAAATTTTCATAATATCTTCTGACGAAGAGCAGCAGAGAGATATGGAAGCTAGAGAACAAAGACGGGGTGCATACCAGAGGGATCTTTTGCACATCATTATTGACTCTATACTTTGTGTTCAATGAGCAAGATTGCCGGTCTACCTCACATCGGTCCTAGATTCAATGGGAAAACAAAACATTTAAATAATGAAGTAATTAATGCTAAACAAGTGAACATATTCCAGGAACTGGAAGCTCCAACTACCAGCAACAACCCGGGGAAAGTGGATATTTGAAAATTTGGAATGTACAAAACTTGAATTTAATTAAAAATTAATTATAAAAAATTAAAATAATATTTTTTTTATATTTAACCAACATACTCTGTCTTATTTTTTTACTGTAAAATTTTCACATTCCCTATATTGACGTGAAGAATCAGCTTCCCTTAAACTTTGCTAGCCCGTGTCATTTATTGATCTTGTTGTACATCAATTTTAATATTTTGTTCTTATTTGTCGAACTTGTGATACATCGATTTTAACATTTGTTTCCAGAGCAATGCTAGGGGCACTCGCCTCAGGCACTCTCCGGCCAACACTTTCTCTTTTATTGGGCCACGTTATTTTGGTTTCCGAGAGGTTGTGCCCAAAAGCTTTAAGGAAGCTTACGTGGCCCAATGAAAGAGGAAGTGTTGGCCGGAGAGTGCAGAGAGCGAGAGTCCCTAGCAATGCTCTTGTTTCTATGGTCCTAATAAACAATAGTGTCGCAAGAACCGAGCCCACGTAAAAACTTGGAAAAAGGTGAAATACAATTAATTCCATTAATGTTCGTAGCCCACCATACGATGCGCACCTGTATCCAACCCGAAGATGTGCACCTTTGAATGGTATTAATAATTGCTGGTGGGGGTGATGACGATCTTGTTAAACCTCAGCACTCATTAGCTTTATTAAAACGGAAAGCCGCTTTCTCCACTATTCAGAAATTTTTGATGGGTCACTCCCCATCTCCATTTGGGTTTCTGTGGCTGTGAATGTTCTACTCGCCACTTTCTTCAGACACAGCTACTTCCACGGCCCAATATATTGCACTATTGCAGCTCGCGTGACGTGTACTGGCCGGCTTTGAATTTTATTTGGGTTTCTGTGGCTGTGAATGTTCTACCCACCACTTTCCACCGCTACTTCCACGCCGGATGTATTGCAATTCATGTGCCGTTAGTGGCCTTCAATAATGGACAGTACTATCTTTTCTGTTTTTCTTGATGGGCTTGAAATGTTGGCTCTAAAAGATGGGGTTGATGAATGAAGAAAAAGAATGGGCAAACGAGAGTTATATTAAATTTGAACTAATATAGAATTGAGTTAGATCAAATTTTATAAAAAAAAAAGTTCTCGCAAAAATTTACTTTATTCACAAGCTCGAATTTGAAATTTTGCTTAAAAGAAACATAACTCCTTCTGCTAAAAAAATTTAAAAGCTTTTAAGCCAACAAATTGAGGTCTAGAGCGGCGCTGGACTGGAGCCTATTGAAACTAAATAGAAACTACTTGAGCATATTCAATACAGCAACTACAACAATTATTTTTGGATATGCTGAGTTCTTGTGAGTTGTGACTCTTAAATCATAATTGGAACCATCCTAAGAAGACACCGAGATGTACTCCAACTAGATAATAGCAACCGATGTTCACAAATGCCGCTAGAGCTTATCAACCAGATTTATCCTATTTAGCCTAGCCACTTGATATTTCTTTTGGTAATAGAGCAAACACTATAGAGTTGCTACGTAATTACGAAACTTGGAAAACCCATGCACAATCTACCAATAACAAAGAGCTCAGATCTAAGAATGGTGTGGAAAACCCATGGAGTCCAGAAGGGGGAAGTCCCTCTTTCAACAACCAGTCTGCACATGCATTCCAGAACATAGGTTTGGTTTGTGATAATTTGAAATAAAGTTTAGTAGATTATTTTTTTTTTTTTTTGAAGATAGACAATGAATAGTTTAGTAGATTGATTATACTGTGATAGGTTAACGTATGTTTAATTCAGTGAAATGTTTTAACTTTTTCCTTTTCATTTTGCACAACACCACAAATTTTCATGTTTGGCATGATAGATTGAATAGAAACATATTAGCAATGTAAAAAGAAAGAAAAGAGAAAGTACTTTTGGATGTACACTTGCAGTTTCTCCTCATGACTTTGATTCATTCATGAATCATGAATCATGATCCAAAACAATCAGATGAGCACACTAAAGCAGTCACAAAACTGGATTATGATTATTGGTTGGAAGCCATCTCACGAGATATATGTGTTTGAGCCCTTTGTGCCTGCAAATGCAATTTCAATGATACAAAAGTTCTACTAACCTTGTGGAGAGATGGGAATTGGGAGAATTAAAGTATGGAAATTTATTTACCTCTACTTCCCATTTGCATTTCATGGTAATGATAGTTAATATCAATGTTTGAACCACAGTTCCACTAATCATTCCAGACCAGATACCCTGATTATATCAATTGTTCATATTGTAGTTAGAAAAAATACTAAATATTTGAGAGAGCATTATGACAAAAGCGACATTTGATTCGGTTTTCTTATCATAACCTGTTAAATTTACCACATATTCAAAAATAGACAAAGCAATACAAATAAGTGCTTGTAATCATACTTACCTTAATACCAAACTGGAGCCATCCTAAGAAGACAGCAAGAGGCACTCCAACTAGATAGTAGCTACCAATGTTCACAAATGCCACCAAAGCTTGCCAACCAGATCCTACTGCCACACCTGAGAAATAAGAATAGGAGATTGACCAAATATGAACTTGCATACATGATTTCAAGTAAAAATTTATCAATGAGCTTATGACCTGAAAGAACTGGTTGAATGCAGTTAAGAAGAATGGTAAATGCCAGCAGGATTGATAATTCATTGACCATCACAATCACAGAAGTGCTTGATGTGAAGATCATTGCAAGTTTGCCATGAAAGACCATGATAATAGTCCAAAAAAAAAGTCCAACCACTAGGGAGTTCAGAACTGAGACCATGGTTGCAAATTTGGCAGCTTTTGCTCTGCCTGCACCAAGCTCATTAGCTACACGCACTCTGTACCAATAAAAATATGTAAGCCAGGAAGGAAAAATATTTGGTGGGCTGTTATGAGGAAGAACAAGAAATGGTTAGTTTCACACACTACTCATTTGGGTCATCTACTTGATGAATGCTTATTGAATGAAAATATTAATCTAATCATCCTCCTATAATAGGTTAAACCATCACAGTTAAGAAAAAAAGATCATGGAAACAATTTACCTAAGATCACCCTATGGACATGAAAGCAATCAAGCCAAACAGTTATATAGAAGTCACTTTTGTCAAGACTCAAATTTCACGTTTTTCTCCAAGTCCCAACTAGAGACTTGCATTTGTAGAAATTAAGCATTCAGTAGTATGATTCTTACAATGAAACTGTTTAATTCAAAGTCATAGTTATGCTAGATGAAGGTTCAAGTCTTAAGAAATACAAATTTGCCAATTCCTCATCTCATTCAATGGTTAACATTTAAGACAAGGGATCATCATCATAAAAATTTCAGATTAAACTACATCAAACTAAATAAGGAAATTTTTGCCAACACTAAAATATTTGGCTCCTGGAGCCTGCTACCAGTGACATACCCAGTTGCTGCTAAAAATCCCAGTGGAATCATGGATTCCCAGCCATAGATAGTTATGCTGTATAATAGAATAAAAAATGGAAATTTATTTAAAAAATGTAAAACAAATAGAAGCTCATAGACAAAGGAAAAAAATGGCAAACACACGCAAGTGATCAGAACAAACCAAATGGAGAGAGCATCAATTGCAACCTCAGTATTCTGCAAATATCCAGACACTATAATCAACACCCTGTAATAAAAGTTCTCCAATCTGGAACATCATGAACCACAAACACTGATCACTTCAACCTTGCGGTAACTGACAGAGTAATGAATAGAGATAAGGCAAGACAAAGCACATACGCCAGCATGACCCCTGAGGCCACAGAGAGCTTAAAGAAATCCCACAGTCCCACAAAGGCCTGAGCAGAGAAACCAGTCCAAGAAAGGGGGCACCCCCCAAAAACAGTATAACCAAATAACCCCAAAACAGACACCCACCAAGAGAAATCAAGAGTGAGGGCAGTCCCAACAATGCCAACTCTCAACTTGTAAACGAAAAACCAACTCACTAACACATGAACAGCTAGAGCACCCCCAGAAACCCAAGCAATCACTGCAGTCTTTAGCTGGCTCTGCAAGAATCTTTGCAATGAAAATTGAAAGGGGAAGCTCAGGTGAAAAGGTATCAACCAAACTGCCACCAAACCTGTCTGCTCTGCCAAATCTGTGCTTAGTCCAAAGAGCTTCAATATTGGCGCAGCAAAAACAAACAGGGGTACTAACAAAATCGAACTTACGAACAGAACAATCCATGATCTTTGGAGGTATATCCCCATCATGTGGTACTGCTTTGCCCCATAAGCTTGGCCGCAAAGTGTCTCCAGCGCACTGGCCATTCCTAACTAAAGAGAAAACAAAAATCACTGCCACATTTTGCTTTCTTCTGTTGCAAATCAAATTGATTGAAGAAAAGAATAAAAGGGAGTAAATGGGGTTGTACCAGGAAACCAAAAGTGATAGAAATGATGACGGTGGTGACAATGGAGATGGCGGCGAGGTTGAGATCACCAAGGTGGCCGGCGAATGCTTGAGTGATGACAGTCATGGAGAACATGGCGAGGCGGCTGAAGATGGAGGGACCTGCAACTTGCCATAACTTCTTTGATTCAAGCCACCCTTTACTGATCAGGTTTTCACCATCGGCGTCAACTGTATGTTGGGGATCCTGTAGATTGTGTTCTGAGCTTGTGAGCAGTAGAGGTTCCTCCTCTTCTTCTGGAATGGTGCCCATCTGTCGGTTATCGGGTTCTGTCCGACTCCCTGAGTACAGGAGGACTAGACGAGGCAGGGGATGGGCTACACCCATTGTCGAAAATCTCACACAATCAGGCCCGATAGAACTTGATTCGGAGAGTTAGTTCTGCTTCGATTCTGCATTCAGGCCCAAAGAAAAATCACTTGGGTTTTCATTCAAGATGATGCGTTTGGATTATTAGGGGCCGATGTTTTTTTTTTTTTTTTTTTTTTT